GCTGTTCGAGCTGCCACTGTTGCAGGTTTTCTTGCAACTGCTGTTGTCTCTCTTCTTGTTTCTTTTCTTTTTCCTCCAACAACTGCTGTAATCTTTCTTGCTTATTTTGTTGTTCCAGCTGCCACATCCTTCTCTCGAACCTTCGTGAATTATCGGGAGACTACTAGATTGGGAGTAGTCTGGTATATATAAGATGGTCACAACGTGACGAGGTAAGGAGTAATTGAACTGCAGACAGAGAGTATTGTTGAAGTTGAGCACGTGAGACGTTCGTTGTTATAGCGCGACTGTTGACATTAAGTGTATCGGTAAAGTTGCATTCGGAAAGAATAAACCAGTTTTATTTAAGAAAGGACTTGTGTCGCTAAAGTTTCATCGGAACGAAGTTACGGAAAATTAATTAACAAACGGAGACGTAACAATATTAATGAAATATCAAACTTCACTAAAAATGTCTTCATCTTTAAATAACATGGTAGTAACACATAAATCATGTACATTTTTAATACTTTTGAGTTTTGACCTAAAAATTGTAATCCACACAATTATCTCTTTATCTCAAATTCTTAAGAACACTGCCTTTTTTATATCATTAAGAACATTATCGAAAACCAAACAGGATTCTGATACTATTATACTGTTCAACCCACTATTTAATTCAAATTTATATTAACACAAGTGACAATTATGGTTTAAAATAAAACACATGACTGGACAGACAATTAATAATAAGAAATCATATCAAAGTATAAACAGAAATCAAATGTACTGATTAAAAGAAAAAAAGGTTTGACTACTGACAATAATTATGAAAACAGAATGTACAATATTATAAAAAAGATTAGATAAGAACTTTTTCCATCACCATAAAACTTCTGTCTTCATTGCTCATTGCTGGTACAAAATCACTTCACTTAATAGAACATGTCTCAAGTTAATTAATTCATTGTTTTCTTTTAAAATATCAGTTTGTCAAAACTTTGTCTGTGAAAACTTCAAATTGGCCTTCTGAGCCGTCTCCTGCTGTACAAAACACATGCTCAGATGACACATTTGTCGGCAGTAATTATTGTCTTTTAGTTTGTGGTATACTGTCTCATAACTGGCTTTTAAACTTATGATGTCTAATATCTTTCAATATTGATTTATTGTCTAGCAACTGTTTTTAAGTTAAGATTTTTTTATTTTTTGTGAATAAAGCACATCTCCTTTCACGTGATAACAGATTACTTGATGGTTTTTTTCTGGGGGGGGAGGAATTATTATTCCAGTGAAATTGTTTGTAAGGCAACTTTGAATTAAACTTTCAGTTATTTCAGGTTGTTTACAAATGATATTGTATTGTCTGGTTCTGTGTAATGTTACATTTGGTACATGGAAGAATACAGTCTCACCCCTTTACATACACTCAGTCCCTCATTGTGAACAAAACATAATCTGACATAAATAATATTCCCATTAACTCTTTACGAAAAACCCTGGGTACAGAAAATATAAACACATTATCAATGTGGAATTTATTTATTTATTTTATTTATCTTCTGTCACCCAAAAGCTTTAATATCTTTTGATAACTCCAATTTAATAATCACCCAAAATTGATATTTTCTAAGAATTCCATTAAATTTTTCTGAAAAAAATTAATAATCTAAAATTCCTGTTGTTTGATAATAACATCTGTTGGCACCACTCACAAAGAAAACTCTCCATATCAACATCCCAGCAGCTTGGGACTGGAGAAGTAAGGGTTCTCACATTCTTCACTAGAAGAACAGATGGGACAAATATGTCTTGGGAAGAACACTGGAGAGTGTGTGTGGACCACTGTCATGAGGAATAATCATCTGGAATTGAGTCCCCACTAAGAGACAGTGCAATAGGTTACTATGACTAAAAACAAAAAGTTCAAGCCAGGTGTAAAGGCAAGACTAAACCCAGTGCTGTCTGTTTTTGTTTTATTTGTAAAATGTGTGGATATGGCCATGTAAGTTATAGCAATATACTGCCAAAGCAGTTGATTTTACAGAAAACCCCATCTCAGTAGTGAGCACTGAGCAGGAGCAGATGGATTTAGAGCTTTCCATTCTCCCCCATTTAATGTGCATTTTAGGTGAGTATTCCCTGTAAGGCAATGCCAGCCACTCATCAGGTTCTGATGACACCAAGCATGAGGAAAGTAAAGCATGGTTCCTTATGTAACATTTGATCTGATATGTTTTGCTTCCTCCTATTTGGTTTGTATTTTTTGAGGAACTTGCAATGTGTTGGAATGTGTAAAAAAATCATGGTACACAGATGGAGGTGACATGTAACATATGAATGACATAGAGATGACTGAAAAACACAACAGGCAAAACTCACCATACTATTGAAAGTGTGTCTCCCATATCAATGTACTAAACACTCAGATCATCAGTGACTGTCTTCTTCAAGGCAACAAATAGTTGTACATTCTCCTCCCTTTGATTGCATTAAGCTGGTATTTAACTGGTGTTACAGGGGAAGTTTCATGGAGAGTGTTGACACTTTCTCTGTTAGCCTTAAGGTAGGTTGAAGAATGGTAACTGGAGGGAGGTAAAAACCAGGGGCACAGGAAACTACCCAATTATGTAAGTAATAGGAGACAAATGTGTTAGGTGTAGTCCATATACCAGCCAATAGGGCCTCCTCCAAAGGTCAGCAATGAAAAGAGGCAAGAGAGGCTGAAATTGGCAAAAGAATACATAAAAAACATATGGTCAGACTCACTCAAATAAGAGCATGTGAGACGGATGAGTTGGTAAGTCTAACCAATTAAAGTGGAAGGGGACAAGTCCCAAGAGGAGGAGACCTGCTTTGGCACAAATAGGCAACAGTGATGTCCATGAAGAGGAGCAGTCTGAGCAAGACAGCAATGGAACAGAACACAAGAGACAATCAAGACTGGAACGATCATACAATGATAAAATGAAGAGGAGAGAGATGGGAGGAAACATCCAATCATCTTCTTGGACAACTCACATCTCCAGAAGAAAGAAGTATACTGAAAATAACATCAACCTGTCTCTATGATAGAATACAGGAAGCATCCAAGGTGTAAATATCTTATTGACGACAATCACAAACAAGAAGGAGAAAAACCATTTTGAGAGATAAATGATATAAGGAACAGGAGGCCAACAGCTCAAAGAGAGTCAAGTAAAAGCTCAAAGAAGCATACAAAGATCCCAGTAGGGAGAGAGGGACCAGAAGAGAGGAATAAAAGAAAGGGATTATTGCCTGACAAGAGGTAGAAAGTTGTGGACAACACCTCATGAAAAATTGCATTGGACAAAACAGACAGGCCTTAGATGAAATGTTAGGTAAAGAAGGAAGTAAATTGTGGAGGAGTTAGAGAACCTGGCTGAAGAAAGTGGCAGAGGAACCAGTGGTAGTGGACAGCCCATGCATGTTGATAGAGGGCAAGAGTAAAAGGCTGACAAGAATGAAAGAGAAAATGGGCTACTCATTAAATACAATAACTGCAACTGAAAACGAGGACAAGCTCAATAAGCTGCAGTCATCTCCAGAAAGTTGATATACAGGTAATGTTCATCTGGAGTGGTGGTGTTGAGAACCATTTGCAATTAGAAAGACAAGTATTAGTGGACAGATGCAAGTCAGGCCAAGGGGAGGTGGTACACCCATGCATGTTGATAGAGGACGAGAGTAGAAGGCTGACAAGAACGAGAGAGAAAATGGGCTACTCTGCACAAAAATCCCATATGTCAAACAAGGGATTAGACAAATCCCATGCATGGAAACAAAGGCATGACATTCTTTTGTGAAATGGAAAAAACATCCAATGGAAGACCAAAGAATGTAAGAAACACTCCATGAGAT